ATATACTATGTAACTATAACGTCAATGTCACATTTCAGTTACAAGCTGCTTTCCCGGAAGCAATAAACCCCTTGCCAATGCCGACTGGTGCATTAACTTATCCTCTGATGCAGCCATGTGAGTCTTCCGGTTTTGGAGGTCGTAATGCAACAGCCTCTGTAAGTTTCATTACAATGTACAGTGCAGATCCTTAAGTTTTAGTCGTCTAATATTAATGGAAAACGTATTGAGTATCTTATCCGAAACAGAAAGTTCTTAAGTATGAGCAAATGAATAGAAATTGTATATATATTTAGAATAGTATAAAAAAATAAAATTAATGTCTTGATGTATTTCTTTCCCCATAACATTAAGAGTAAATAGGAATATTTGGACTAACTGTATATTATTATTTTAGGCAAGTGCCCAATTGATAACATTATCACCAATACTTCCGCTTTCAAGTGAATTCTGCAACCCAATGATACCACAGATGACAGTTGTACCAAGCATGGTTTGTGGGTCTTCGGTTGGTGGTGGATGTGAGGTAAGATGAGTTTTTCTTGACTTTTAATAATTATACATGGTCAACAAATTACACAGCTATAAAACGATGCGAGAGCTTGAATGTTTGTTTGTTAATCCTTCAGGTCAAAACGGTTGAAGGGTTCGAGATGAAATTAGGTACAGGGGTAGATTATGGTCTTACATAATACATAGTTAGTTTTAATGCCACGAAAATGTCGGCAAAGCCGGTAGTGGACGCTAATAAGAATATTTTAACTGAACTTTATTTACAAGTTAAATGCATAGCAGAATTAAAACAAAAACACTCTCTGGAATAGCTGACGATTAATGGCTAACTGTATCTCTTTATTAGCAGGGTGATATAGGAAACCCATTAGTGTGCAGTACACATACCGCTCCGGTTCTCGAGGGTTTGCTCACTAGAAGCAACAACTGTGGGGTTAATGTAGCCGACCCAGAAGTGTATACTCAAGTCTTCCCATTCGCATCATGGGTGAATGAAGTTCTCTCTCCTACACCCTCTTCGTCTACACCTGCTTCTTCTACAACTACTACACCTGCTCCGGGAGCGGCATCCACGTCACAACTCGGAACTTCTGTAGCACTCATGTTCGTAATCATCCAATATTTCAAAATCTTTAACTAAATCAAAGCCAAAATATACCAATTATAAATATATTTTTTTGTAATTTTAAATAATATTATTAATAAATGAAATTCTGAAAGTAATCTTTTTTAATATCATGTTGGGAATCCTTATAGACCACGGTGTTCCTGCACCGCTTCTAGCAGGAAACCGCTATATTGCTTCTCTAACTAGCAATTGATCCTGTCAAGTTAGAACAGCTAACCCCTTCTATTGCTATACATGCGTCTGTAATTATCTGTTTAAACATCAATCAACCTTTGGATAGAAAAGTCTTATGAACCATTCTGATATAAATAATAATACTTAAAATCTTTTTTCTCAGAATTGTTTTCTCTGTCGATCTGTGCGTGTTTTTCATAAAAAATGACCCTAACAAAATTGAACTGTCCCACAGCTTTAAACATTTTCATTTTTGATTTTTATGTAGGGCCCATGTAGATGTGAAATTTAATGTTATTAAAGCAGGCATTTTAAAATCAAGTATATGAATTGCTGTTTGCAAAAAGTGGTTACAATGACTAAGAAGTTTTTGGTCATAGCCTCCATAAAAACCAAGCCGGTCGCTACGTTGGCATCAATTATTCGTATTGCTATCCGAATAGTACCCATGGATATCAAAGTTTTACTCTTCGGATTGTCCGGATAATACGGATAATGCATGATAATGCAGTGGTATTTTTGGAAAAAATATTATAGATGAAGCTAATAAGTTTTTTTATAATATTAGTCTGAACATTAATGATAGAAGAATATGAGGGTCACCAGGAAAGTTTTTCGGGAGTTTTGAAAATCGGCAATTTAATAAATTTTGATATAATCTTTTCGATTTCTATATTAGAGGTATACCTCCTTACGAGAGCCGCTCGCGCCGCCATAGCCAAATAGCAGCCATAAAAAGTTTTTTTTACAATATCTCTTTTCCTGTGTTCCTGTTTATATTTTACGAGAAAACCTCACAATTTGCTACAATTTATGTTACTGACAGCTTTTTGTAAAATAAGTAACTTTGGCCCCAGAGCATAGCAATACATTATTATGAG